AAAAAAAAACAACTGGGCGGATCCGCTTTTTTTTGTTTTTTCCTTTTTTTTCGGGGGGGGGGGGGGAATGAAAATCCTCTCCTCCCTCCTCCTCCTCCTCCTCATCCTTCTCCTCGTCCTCCTCCTCCTCCTCCTCCTCCTCCTCCTCCTCCTCTTCCTCCTCCTCCTCCTCCTTCTCCTACCTCCCCCCCTCCTCCACCGTCGGAGCCCGAGTGGCACGGGGCCCATCGGGCCGCGAGGAGCCGACGGCCAGGGGGGCAGCGCGGAGCATGAGGGGGGAGGGAGGGGGAGAGGTAAGGAGGAAGTGGAGGGAACGAGAAGACTTTTTAAACGACGCATGAACAATCACTGAAACCCTCCACTGAATGCTTCCTACTGGAATCCTCGAATGGCAATGGCAATGGCAATTGTAATGGTAATGGTAATGGTAATGGCAGTGGAAATGGTAATGGTACTGGTAATGGTTACGGTACTGATAGTGGTAACGGGGTAGCGAGGCAATGACAATGGCAACGGTAATGGTAATGGCAATGACAATGGCAATGGGAATGGCAATAACAATGGCAATGGTAATGGCCATGGCAATGGTAATGGTAAGGGTAAAGGTAAAGGTAGAGGTAAAGGTAATGGTAATGGTAATGGCAATTGCAGTGGTAATGTTAATGGTACTGGTAATGGGAATGGGAGTGGGAATGGGAACGGCAACGGGAATGGAAATGATAGTGGTAGTGGTAATGGTAATGGCACTGGTAATGGGAATGGGAATCGTAATGGAATTGGGGATGGGAATGGGAATGAGAATGGGCATTCTAATGGTAATGGCAGCGGTAATGGTAATGGGAATGGGAATGGGAATGGAAACGGTACTGGCAATGGTAATGGTAGTGGCGAATGGCAATGGCAATGGCAATGGCAATGGTAATGGTAATGGTAATGGTAATGGTGATGACAGAAGTAATGGTACTGGTAATGGTAATGGTAACGGTAATGGTAATGGTAACGGGGTAGCGATTGGCAATGGCAATGACAATGACAATGGCAACAATAATGGTAATGACAATGACAATTGGATTAGCAATGGCAATGGCAATGACAATGATAATGGCCATGGCAACGGCAATGGTAAGTGTAATGGTAATGGCAATGGTAGTGGGAATGGGAACGGGAATGGTAATGGCATTGGGAATGGGAATGGGAACGGGAACGGGAATGGAAACGGTAGTGGTAGTGGTAACGGAAATGGGAATGATAAGGGTAAGGGTAAAGGTAATGGTAATGGTATGGAAATGATAGTGGTAATGGTAATGGCTATGGGAATGGCAATGGCAATGGAAATGGTATTGGCAATGGTAATGGTAGCGGTTAATGGCAATGGCAATGGCAATGCGAATGGTAATGGTAATGACAGGGGTAATGCTAATGGTATTGGTAATGGTAACGGTAATGATAGTGGTAACGGGGTAGCGATTGACAATGGCAATGACAATGGCAAAGGTAATGGTAATGGCAATGGCAATGGCAATGGCAATGGCAATGGTAATGGCCATGGCAATGGCAATGGCAATGGCAATGGTAATGGTAATGGTAATGTGAATGGGAATGGGAATGTGAATGGGAACGGGAATGGGAATGGCAGTGGTAGTGGTAACGGAAATGGGAATGGTAAGGGTAAGGGTGCAGGTAAAGGTAGAGGTAATGGTAATGGTAATGGCAATGGCAGTTGTAATGGTAATGGTAATGGCATTGGGAATGGGAATGGGAATGGGAATGTGAATGGTAATGGTATTGGCAATGGTAATGGTAGTGGCGAATGGCAACGGCAATGGCAATGGTAATGGTAATGGTAGTGGCGAATGGCAATGGTAATGGTAGTGGCGAATGGCAATGGCAATGGCAATGGTAATGGTAATGGCAATGACAGAGGTAATGGTAATGGTACTGGGAATGGTAATGGTGACGGTAACGGTAATGGTAATGGTTATGGCAATGGTAACGGGGTAGCGACTGGCAATGGCAATGGCAACGGCGATGGCAATGGCAATGGTAATGGTAATGGCAATGGCAATGGCAATGGGAATGGCAACGGCAATGGCAATGGCAATAGCAATGGCCATGGCAATGGTAATGGTAATGGTCATGGCCATGGTAATGGTAATGGTAATGTGGATGGGAATGGGAATGGGAATCGTAGTGGTAATTGGAACGGGAACGGAAATGGAAATGGTAGTGGTAGTGGTAGTGATAATGGCAATGGTAATGGTAATGGAAACGGTACTGGTAACGGTAATGGCAATGGTGATGGGAATGGGGATTGTAATGGTGATGGCAGCGGTAATGGCAATGGCAATGGTAATGGTAATGGTAATGGTAATGGCAATGGTGTTGGTAATGCTAATGGTAATGGCAATGGTAATGGTAGTGTCTAACGGTAATAGGAATGGTAATGGTAACGGTAATGGTAACGGGGTGGCGACTGGCAATGGCAAGACAATGGCAATGGCAACGGCACTGGTAATGGCAACGGCAACGGCAATGGGAATGGCAATGGCAATGGCAATGGCAATTGTAATGGCTATGGTAATGGTAATGGTAGTGGTAAAGGTGAAGGTAAAGATAAAGGTAGAGGTAATGGTAATGTGAATGGGAATGGGAATGGGGATGGGAATGGTAATGGTAATGGTAATGGTATTGGGAATGGGAATGGGAATGGGAGTGGGAGAGATTGAGAGAGAGAGAGAGAAAGCGAGAGAGGAAATATCATAATAATGATGAGGAGCAACGTGAAAGATCGTAAAAAATCGTTTGAAACCCACAGGGGCTCCACAATCCCCCGGCCTCGAGAACCTCCTCCTCCTCCTCCTCCTCCTCCTCCTCCTCCTCCTCTTCCACCTCCCTCCTCCTCTCCTCCTCCTCGTCTCCTCCTCCTCCCCTCTCCTCCTCCTCCTCCTCCTGCTCCTCCTGCTGCTCCTCCTCCTCCTCCTCCTCCTTCTCCTCCTCCTCCTCCTCCTCCTCCTCCTCCTCCTCCTCCTCCTCCTCCTCCCCTCCTCCCCTCCTCCCCTGGGAGTCGGCTGCCTCGGCCTCGGCCTCCCCTTTCTCCAGCCGCTTTGAGCTGGCTCCCTTGACCTGCCTCGGGCACCGCCTCGACGGGTTCTCGAGCCGCGTCCAGCCTCGGGCTGCGAGGACCGTCTTCTGGAGATGCTTGCCTCCTCTTTCGAGACTGTTCGGCAGAGCTCCGTCCTCGCTCGTCGGACAGCCCTTCACTTGCAACTGGGGCTTGCGCGTCGCGGCATCCGTGGCCCGAATATCGGCCACGCTGCGTCGGCAGCACGCTTCAGCTCACATCTTGGTTGGCTTTCGCGCTCCTCCGGAGGAGGGGGGGAATGGGAGGAGGAGGAGGAGGGGGAGCATGAGGACGGGGAAGGAGGAGGGGGGGAGGAGCGGAGAGAAGGACGGGAGGGAGCCGGAGGGGGCGAGGATAAGCAAGGGGATTGCCTTCCCTTCTTCCTTCGCCCGCCGCCTGTGTCTGCCTGCCTGCCTGCCTGCCTCCCTGTTACATGTTTGCTTGTCTGTCTGCCTGTCTGTCTGTCTGTCCGTCCGTCCGTCCGTCCGTCTGTCTTTCTTGTTTGTCTGTCTGTCTGCCTGTCTGCCTGTCTGTCTGCCTGTCTGTCTGTCTGCCTGTCTGTCTGTCTGTCTGTCTGTCTGTCTGTCTGTCTGTCTGTCTGTCTGTCTCTCTCTCTCTCTCTTCCTCCCCCTCACCTTTGCCTCTTCCTCCTCCTCCTTCTCCTCTCTCCTCCTCCTCCTCCTCCTCCTCCTCCTCCTCCTCCTCCTCCTCCTCCTCCTCCTCCTCCTCCATCCCTCTTCTTTATACTCAATTCTCCCTCTGTCACCCCACTAGGCGTCTGGATGGGGCTGCCTGAGCGAGTTGCTTGGGACTACCCCGCCCTTGATGAACTGACGCTTGAGACCTCCAGGAGTTACACGGATAGATGGCCCGCCGCTGTCAACATGTGGCGATGTCTTGGGCGCCGCGCACATATAGCTTAAACTTCCGACAGCTATACAGGCGGAGGACGGGCCGTGCTCACATGTGGCCTTTGCTTAAACACGGCGCACATGGGCTTGAAAGCTTCTGGCAGATACGCGGACGGAAGGCGGTTCTTTTCGACATGGTGCTCTCGCTCAAATTCCGTCCAATAATCGGATTAGAATCTCAACAGCGTGCAGCAGCTGCGCGGATTGAGGACTGCTCCTTTACAAAATGGGACTCTCGCCTGTGACGTCCAAATCTGGATGACCAAGATTGTAAAGCTTGCGTCAGCTACGTGGGACGGGGGCGATTCCGTTTTAGAATGGGGCCGTCGCTTGACACATCCTAGAGTTCGCTTGCGCTTCTCTTCGGCCTTGCCCGACTGGCAGGTCAGCGGGGCGCTCGTGGTTTCGGGGAGCGCCTCCTGTCTTGAACAGGGGACTTGGGACGGAAGGGTACATTGCGGCATCCTTTTTTGCATCGTTCGAGTATGGTATCGACTACAGACTTGGTTTACCCTAAAATAGGTTTCCTCGTCGAACGTACGACAATGTTGTTTAGTATGCTCGTACATGTTTCCACGTTTTTGTTTGTGTTTTTTTTTGTGTGTTGTTGTTGTTGTTGTTGTTGTTGTTGTTGTTGTTGTTGTTGTTGTTGTTGTTGTTGTTGTTGTTGTTGTTGTTGTTGTTGTTGTTGTCGTTGTCGTTGTCGTTGTCGTTGTCGTTGTCGTTGTCGTTGTCGTTGTTGTTGTTGCTGCTGTTGTTGTTGTTGTTGTTGTTGTTGTTGTTGTTGTTGTTGTTGCTGTTTTATCCGGCGTTTTTTTGTCTATTCTATATATTCGTTTGTTTTTTTGTGGGATATCGTCGATCCCCTACTCGAATAATGGTCTTGTTTTGATCCTCGTTCCTCCTCGTCCTCCCCGCCCCGTCCGCCGCCAGCTCCGCCCCTCGTAGCCCGCGGTGCCGGCGGCGAGGCCCAGCCCGAGGCCAGGCCCAAGCCCGAGGACCCCCTGGCCAGAAAGAGGAGGATCGACCGCTTCGCCGCCGGCGAGGCCAAGCTCGAGGCGAAGCCCGAGGACCTCGCCATGAAGACGGTGGGTCCTCACCACCCACCAAACCACTCCAACCCAACCCGAAGGCTCAGATTTACCCTCGATTTCTAGTGGGGGGGGGGTCCGGGAACATCGACAAAACACATATGGAGCCCATACCCCCCCAACCCGAAATTCGGGTCTTCGGGTTGGGTTGGGGTGGTCTGGTAGGTAGTCAGGTCCTGAGGGGAAGGGCTGCTGGGATTTGCGTTATACAGGCACGCGCGCATACGCGCAAACAGTCTTTTGGCCGCCCCCGGGTGTGCTCTGGGCACCAGGGCTGCCCCAAACAGCGAAGAATGAAGAACTGGTCCTGGAAAAGGCTGGTCCTGTGTGAGAGGTTCCCGTTTTGAATAGAGCACCGTGGTCTCCACATCTCTCGCCTCCCTTCTCCTCCCCGTCTCCCTCCTCCTGCAGTCTGCTTCATGCTTCATTCCCAGCCCTCCTGTGTTGGGCTCTCGTTTTTCATAAAGCACCGTGGTCTCCACTCCTCACTTCTCCTCTCCTCCTCCTGCCTCCTTCTGCGCTGCTCCCTGGGTGGCTGTGAACTGCGCAATTGTCGCCATCTTTCTCGGGCTGCTTGGAGGTCCAGCAGAGTCGGGGGCCACGCGGACCCAGACGAGTCCTCGCTGCTCCCTGGGTGGCAGCGAACTGCGCAACCGTCGCCACTTTCGTGGGCTCCTTGGGGGTTCAGCGGGGTCGGGGGCCACGCGCACTCAGAAGGGACCTCACTGCTCCCTGGGTGGCTGCGATCTGCGCAGCCGTCGCCAATTTCTCGGGCTGCTTGGAGGTCCAGCAGAGTCGGGGGCCACGCGGACCCAGTTGAGACCTCGCTGGTCCTTGGGTGGCTGCGAACTGCGCACTTGTCGCCACTTTTCGTGTGCTCCTAGGGGTTCCAGCGGAGTCGGGGGCCACGCGCACACAGAAGGGACCTCACTGCTCCCTGGGTGGCTGCGAACTGCGTACTTGTCGACACTATCGTGGGGGCTCCTGGGGGGTCAGCGGAGTCGGGGGCCACGCGGACCCATTTGAGACCTCGCTGCTCCCTCGGTGCTGCGAACTGCGCAACCGTCGCCAGTGTCGTGGCCTCCTTGGTGGGCTCCTGGGGGGTCCGGCGGGGTCGGGGGCCACGCGCATCCATTTGATACCTCGCTGCTCCCTGGGTGGCTGCGAACTGCGCAATCGTCATCACTTTCGTGGGGGCTCCTGGGGGGTCCTGCGGGGTCGGGGGCCACGGGCATCAATGTGAGACCTCGCTGCTTCCTGGGTGGCTGCGAACTGCGCAACCGTCATCACTTTCGTGGGCTCCTGGGGGGTCCGGCGGGGTCGGGGGCCACGCGCATCCATTTGATACCTCGCTGCTCCCTGGGTGGCTGCGAGCTGCGCGCCCGTCGCCACTTTCGTGGGGGCTCCCGGGGGGTCAGCGGAGCCTGGGGCCACGCGCACCCATGTGAGACCTGGCTGCTCCCTGGGTCGCTGCGAACTGCGTACTTGTCGCCACTTTCGTGGGGGCTCTTGGGGGGTCAGCGGAGTCGGGGGCCACGCGCACTCGTTTGAGACCTCGCTGTTCCCTGGTCTGCTGCGAAGCGCGCAACCATCGCCACTTTCGTGGGGGCTCCCAGCGGAGTCGGGGGCCACGCGCGCTCATGTGAGACCTCGCTGCTCCCTGGGTGGCTGCGAACTGCGCAACCGTCGCCACTTTCGCGTCCTCCTGGGGGGTCCAGCGGGGTCGGGGGCCACGCGCACCCATTGGAGACCTCGCTGCTCCCTGGGTGGCTGCGAAGTGCGCACCCGTCGCCACTCTCGTGGGGGCTCCTGGGGGTGCCAGCGGAGTCGGGGGCCACACGCACTCATTTGAGACCTCGCTGTTCCCTGGTCTGCTGCGAAGCGCGCAACCATCGCCACTTTCGTGGGGGCTCCCAGCGGAGTCGGGGGCCACGCGCATCCATGTGAGACCTCGCGGCTACCCGGTGTGCTGCGAAGTGCGCAGCCGTCACCACTTTCGTGTGCTCCTGGGTGGCACGGTGGGGATGAGGGCAGCGCTGATCGTGCATACTTTGTTATTTTGCATGTGTTCTTTTGTATGGAGCGTTCATGCAAGTATTCGCCTCGCGTGGAGAAGGTCTCAATCCGTGGGCCCCAGATGTCTCGATTTTTTTCCCTGGGGCCTTTCTTCGTCCCCTGGAGCAAACACGTGGGGACTGAGAACAATCCACTGGAGGTTTGCGTTTCGTTGGTACCAGCCTGAGGATCCCTTGGCCAAGAAGAGGAGGATCGACAGCCTGCTCGACACTCCCCTGTCGGAGCAGAAGGCCCGCAACTCCAGGAGCTCGCCGGGACGCCCCGTCGGGCGCACCGCTTGTGTACTCGAGGAGGAGGAGGAGGAGGCGTGCGAAGGAGCATGAGGAGGCGCAGGAGGAGGAGGAGGAGGCGGAGACATGTCATCCAAAATGATGGTAATGCTATGATGAGGATGGTAAGGATAATGATGATGATGATGAGGATGCTGATGCTGATGATGATGCGGATGCTGATGAAACTTATGCTGCTCAAGCTGAGAATGCTGATGCTGATGGTGGTGCTGATGATGCTGGTGATGATGATGATTCTGATGATGGTGGTTGTGGTGGTGGTAACGACGACGATGGTAATGTTGACGATGATGCTGATGATGGTGCTGCTGATGATGATGCTGATGATGCTGATGATGAGGACGATGCCGAGTATTATGCTGCTGCTGAGGTGATGATGATGCTGAAGATGATGATGATGATGACGATGGTGGTGACGATGATGTTGGTGATGATGATGACTATGATGATGATGGTTGTGGATGTGGTGGTGGTGGCGACGACGATGACAAACATTGATGCTGCTGCTGATAATGATGATTTTGAGGATGATGAGGATGATGCTGATGCTGATGATGGTGATACTGATGCAGATGATGATGATGACGATGGCGAGGATGATGATGATGCGGATGGCGATGCTGATGCCACTGATGATGATGATGATGATGATGATGATGAAGAGCGTGCTGATGCTGAAGAAGATGATGATGCTGATGCTGATGATGACGATGGCGAGGATGATGATGCTGATGATGCTGCTGATGATGTTGCTGATGCTGATAATGATGATGATGATGATGATGATGATGATGATGATGATGATGATGATGAGGATGGTGTTGCAGATGATGATGTTGATGATGGTGAGGAGGACGACGATATTGATGCTGCTGATGCTGATGATGGGATGGTGGTTCAGACGATGAAGGTGATGATGATAATGCTGCTGATGATGACGATGATGACGATGATGATGATGATGATGTTGATTGTGGCTGTGTTGGTGGCGATGATGCGGATGACGATGGCGATGATGCTGCGACGACCATCATGGTGCTGCTGATGGTGACCATGCTGCTGCTGATGCTGCGGATGGCCATGATAATGATAGTCAGGGGAGTGGTGATGTCGACGAGTTGATGATGATGGTGATGATGATGCTGACGATGATGACGACGATGATGAGGATGATGATGATGATGATGATGCTGATGATGCTGATGATGCTGATGATGATGATGTCGGCGACGACAATAGTGATGGCGATGCTGATGGTGATCATCATGGTGGTGATGGTGATGACGATGAAGGTGAAGAGGATAATGGTGCTGCTGATGATGATGATGCTGATGATGCTGATGATGATGATGACGATTGTGATGATGATGACGATGACGCTGATGATGGTGATCATGATGCTGATGGTGGTGGTGGTGATGCTGCTGCTGACGATAGTGATGATGGTGCTGGTGCTGGTGATGATGGCGACGATGATGATGATGATGCTGATGTTGAGGATGATGCTGCTCATACTGATTGTGATGATGATAGCGATGATGATGATAATGATGTTGATGATGATGATGATGATGATGATGATGATGATGATGATGATGGTAATGATGATGCTGCTGATGATGATGATTCTGATGCTGATGATGATTCTGATGCTGATTAGGATGTTGATTATGACGATGCTGATCATGATGATGATGAGGATGATGATGACGATGATGTTGATGATGATGAGGATGATGATGATGATGCTGATGATGCTGCTGCTGATGATGATGATGATGATGATGCTGATGATGATGATGATGATGATGATGAGGGTGGTTGTGATGGTGGTGGTGGTGGTGGTGGTGCTGGCGATGAGGAGGAGCGAATGAGGAGGAGGGAGGAAGGAGGCATGCGGAGAGAGGAGGAGGAGAGGGAGCAGGAGGAGGAGGGAGGAGGATGAAGAGGAGGCCTCCTCCCTCGTCCTTCTCTTTAGCTTTAGCTGCTTCCTTCTCTTCCTGTTGCTGGTCTCCTCGTTTTTTAACTCCTATACTTTCTCTCCCGCCTGCCATTCGGCAGCTTCATGGATTCTCGGGTGATTGAGCCTGTCCCTGTGGTCCGCGTACATTTCTTCTGCCAACGACTGGCCCCCTCTGCTCCGCGGCGGGCACCCTAACATCTGGGGAGCGGGGGGAGCTGGAGTTGGGGGTGGGATCCGGGCGCTGATGCTGATGATGATGACGATGACGACGATGATGATGATGATGATGATGAGGAGGAGGAGGAGGAGGATGATGATGCTGATGGTGATGCTGGTGATTATGATGCTGATGATGATGATGCTGATGATGATGATGATGATGATGCTGCTGGCGATGATGCTGGCGATGCTGCTGATGCTGACCATGGTGATGATGCTGCTGCTGATGATGCTGATGACGATGCTGATGATGGTGATGATGCTGATGACGATTATGATGATGATGCTGCTGCTGATGCTGGTGATAATGGTGGTGGTGATGATGCCGATGGAAAGGATGATGACGATGCTGCTGATGATGATGATGATGCTGATGATTATGATGGTGATTAGGTTGATTATTCTTCTGATCCTGATGCTGATGATGCTGATGATGCTCATGACGGTTCTGATGCTGCTAATGATGATGTTGAAGATGGGGATGATGCTGATGCCGATGCTGATGATGCTGGTGATGATGACGACGATGATGATGCTGCTGATGATGCTGATGATTATGATGGTGATGGCGATGCTGATGCGGATGCTGATGCTGATGCTGATGCTGATGCTGCTGCTGCTGCTGATGATGATGATGATGATGATGATGATGATGATGCTGACTATGATGATACTGATGATGATGCTGCTGATGATGATGATGATGATGATGATGGGGATGTGGATGAGGAGGAGGAGGAACCAGAGGATGATGAGGAGGAAGATGAAGAGGAGGAGGAGGAGCAGGAGGAGGTGGAGGAGGAGGACGAGTAAACAATGTAATAGGCGAAGGATGATGATGATGATGATGATGAGGAGGAGGAGGAGGAGGAGGAGGAGGAGAAGGGGAAGGAGGAGGAGGAGGAGGAGGTGGAGGAGGAGGAGGAAGAGGAGCAGGAAGAGGAGGAGGAAGACGAGGACGAGGGATGGCGGACAATGCGGAGGAGGAGGAGCATGAGGAGGTGGAGGACCAGTGTACACCCAAGAGTCATCAACGATGTTGAGATAAACCCTCCCCCCAAGCTCCCTCTTCATAGGCCCCTACAACGGTTGACTTCCACTGAGGAGTTGCCTCGTTGGAAGAACTACTTGAAGACCCTGAAGCATGTCAAAACATTGTTCGCGGGATTCCCACGTCACGGATCAGCCTGACTGTTGCTCCTTGACGATCCTGAATCGTGCCAGAACGCCATTCCTGGAACTTCGACACTGCGAATCAACGTAACTGTGGCGCCCTCATAATCCAGAATCCTTCCAGAACGCCATCTGTGGTACGTTGATCATGGGAATCCGTGGAACTCTTGCGCCTTTTCAAAACGAATGTGCGCGGCGCGAAGGCGAGAGCCACATTTTGAAAAGGAACCGCCCTCAATCCGTGAAGCTCTTGCAAATTCTTAAAACGAATGTACGCGGCGCTAAGGCGAGAGCCACATTTTGGCAACGGCCCGCCCTCAAGCCGTGAAGCTTTTCCACCTTTTTAGAACGAATGAACGCGGCGCTGAGGCGAGAGCCACATTTCGAAAGCCACCCGCCCTCAACCCGTGAAGCTCTTGCAAATTCTTAAAACGATGTGCGCGTCGCTGAGGCGAGAACCACACTTTGAAAACGACCCGCCCTCCATCTGTGAAGCTCTTGCAAGTTTTTCCACGAGTGTGCGCGGCGCTTAGGCGAGATCCACATTTTGCAAAGCCGTCGTCCTCCATTTGCGAAGCTGTTGCCAATGTTTAAAATTCAGGGCCATACATGGTGAGGAAGGAAGTCTCAAGCGAAACGCCCATTCCGTCCTAAAATCTGGCTTCGGGGTGCAACAGGGAGACATTTTTTTATACGAAAGAGGAATGGAAGAGGAGGAGGAGGAGGAGGAGGAGGAGGAGGAGGAGGAGGAGGAGGAGGAGGAGGAGGAAGAGGGGGAGGAGGAGGAGGAGGAGGAGGAGGAGGAGGAGGAGGAGGAGGAGGAGGAGGGGGAGGAGGAGGAGGATGAGGAGCCGGCTAGCAGAAGCGGGAATAGAAAATGGAGCGGAGCTCCCTCGCACCCAGTGAAACTTGAGCATTTGCATTGGAGTGGGAAGGGTCCCGAGTCCCCGTGGGCCTGCTCGAGGCGAGTACCGCGTCGTTCGGATCTAGGAAACCGTGCACTGCAGCAACCTTGTGCATATCCAGGGGTTCTGGAACCTTGGGTCCAAGGGACGCCCCCCGGCCTCGGGACCCGAACCAGAAGAAGTCCGCAACGTCCCCATCCTCAAGGCTCGAACGTCCAACGACGGAATGACGACCGACTCGCGCACGGGGGGTACGGGATTGCGTCGACTCGGGATGCAGGCCTCTTCGAAGCCTGCTCCTCTGATTCGCTAGCCCTGGATGGATATTCCCCTTACACGCCGCCGCGAGGCCTGACCCAGGCCGAGGTGGAGGAACAGGCGCTTGAGCAGGAGGGGGAGGAGGAGAAGAAGGAGGAGGAGGAGGAGGAGGAGAAGGAGGAGGAGGAGGAGGAGGAGGAGGGGGAGGAGGAGGAGGGGGAGGAGGGGGAGGAGGAGGAAGAGGAGGAGGAGGAGGAGGAGGAAGTGGAGGAGCAGGAGGATCTCTGGACCGTTCCACGCCCCCCGCCAACAGGAAAAAGCAGCAGTGAACTCCCGCCGACGCGCGCGCACGCGCGCCCAGGCGCTCGGGACGGCGCTGTCTCCGTCGGCGGGCCGGCCCCCTCTCCCTATTCCTGCTCCTCCCTCCCCATCCTCCTGCTGCTCCTGCTCTTGCTCCTGCTCCTGCTCCTGCTCCTGTTTCTGCTCCTCCCTCCTCAACCCCCTCGCACTCACTCGTGGCGCCGACCAGGTTGATTTCCCAACCGCCCCCCCCGCTCCTCTCGCACGGGCTCCCAGAGAGTCCCGATGACCCCCAAGGCCCCCCAAAACGGCTGACGGACGGGCTTCCAATATCCCCACGGCCCACGGTTCAGTAAACGCAAACAGGACAACACCGCAGGAGCCCTGTATAGCTCCAGAGCAGCTCCCTCCTCCTTTTCCTCGTTCTCCTCCTCGCTCCCCTCCTCGTCCTCCTCCTTTTCCTCCTCCTCCCCCTGCCCCCTTCACTCCTCCTCCTCCTCCTCCGCCTCCTCCTCGCACCCCCTCTTCCGATCCTCTAGGAGAGAGAGAAGGCGACGACGACGACGACGACGACGACGACGACGGTGGCGGCGGCGGCGGCGGCGGCGGAGGCGGCGACGACGACGACGACGACGATGCGGTGGGGGAATCGCGCCGCGCCCGCGGCTTCGCCGGCGGGGCCGTCGCTTTGCGACGGCCCGATGTGTGCGGCGTCGCCAGACACCGCCCTTCCCCTTGCCGCTCCTCCGCGCCTTCCGACGAATAGTTCTGCCGCGGGCGCCGATGTCCCGAGACAACTGCCGTTGGCGCCCAAGACGGCCCAGGATGGCCCGATAGAACCCCCAAACGGCCCTGGAAGGCCCCGGCTACCATCCAGGAAAGCCCAGCGGCAATCCTGCGTAGACCCGAAGCGGCCCCATTCGCCTTGCCGTCATCACCCTGATCGTTTCCCCGCGCATTCCTCCGCCGCCTTCTCAGCAAGCGCCCAGAGGGCGCCTTTTGGATTTCACCTTGTTGTCTGCTGCGTGTTTGGCTATGCCTGTTTATGAATCTGTAGTGTTTATGCAACCTGTACAATGCATGGGATGCACATTGGTATTTATGTCCATGTCTGTATATATATATATATATGCACATGTAGATACATAGGCAAGTCTGCAGCCACACATTCACGTGTTGCTGTCAGGCGTATGAACTCGTGCTGGTATGTTCTGCATGAGCGATGGCATGCAGACCGCGCGTGCACGATGATGGTCTTGTTCATCCAGTAGCGCTGCCGCGCGATTCCGCCACCGCGCTCGGGCGGGCGCCTGGGTGCTGTGGGGCGGGGGCGGGCGCCGGGGGGGCAGGATAGTCCATGGAACGTCCCTCCCCCAACCTCGTACTTGGGCACACTCTTGCCTGGAAGGTCAAACACGCTGGGACTCGGTCACGCAACTGGGCGCATCTTGGGCTCGATGCGTCGGGGGGACCAAATTACTGCTTCGAGAGGAGCGCGAGGGCCTGACGCACACCTACCGCTGCAAGCGCTTTTGCGGATACGCTTACTTTTTGATCTGCAGGGCGAGAGCGAACCTCTTCCGCTGAAAGCTAAGCGGGACGCGCACAGCTTTAATTAGCAGAGAAAGGGCGGAAGAAGGCGGGGCCTCACGCGGCCGGGAGAGGGCGAAGCCCAGGGATCAGGCGGTGCAGAAGTGGACGTGCAGGAAAAGGTACACCTTGGACAGGAGCCCGGTGGTGAAGTCCCGGGAGGAAGAAAGCCGGTGGTGGTGCCGTCAGCGGCGCTTCGAGAACACCAGCCTCACATACTGCGGGAGAGGACTCGCCACGTCAGCGGATACGCTTACAAGCAATCACATCAACTAGTCACGCAGGTTAGTCGCAATCGCAATGCGCGAACAGGACGATACCGATGGAAATAATCACGCGCGCAGTATAGCTACGTGTCATACTTGCACGGGCACCGCTTTTCCCGACCATGCCGTCGCATGGGAAAGGCACGACGCATAGCTCATTCACATCTGGTTGTGAACCCAATGAGAACTCACGGCACCTTTTTGTTCAATCACGTTGCCATGGGGGGGTGTCCGCGTGCAGAGTGTATTGTTCTTAAACGAATGAAGCTGCCGAAAACATGCAGTTCCCAAGCTTGTAATTACATTGTCCTGCTTTTTCTCATGCAGGCTTGCTTACTATATAAGTCAGCACAGTATTCTGCACGCGCCCAATTCCATACGGAAGCGTGGTTGAACAAAATGGCGTTTTAATTGTTGCAGCTTTTCGTGGCGACCCCCATGTGTGAAATATGCGACCGCGTCCATGTGGCAGCACGGTGGGACAACGGGGTGCCCGCGCAACATTGTTTGTGATTCTGCTACGATGCTGCGTTGCTTCTGTTCTATGGGGAGTTCCATCTACTTCGCCCACCTATTCCACTATCCAGCGGAATAGCCAACTGGAGGCCCCTACAATGCTTTACGGCATTTATGGGTAGGCTGAATCGGTCGATATCCCTGTTGGGGTGGTGGGTCTTTGGTTTCCAACGCCTTTTTGTCCAGCGCCTGATCCATCAATGAACCCTTTTTCGGTTGACCCATGGCTTCCAGCGCTCATACCAAAATCCAGGGATCATCCGACTTATGTCTCGAATTAGAAAGTATATCTGCGGCAACCTTTTCAACACAATTGCATTGCGGTGATCACTGGTTTTGACGTTTTGGGTTCGAATTGGTTCCAAAAAGCGGGACAGCCGAAATAGGATACATTTTTTTCCGGGGGAGGGGGGGGGTATTGTGGGTTTTGTTTATTTTTAGTGTTGTGTGTGGTTCGATGTGTTTGTTTTTCGTTTTTTTTGGTTTCCCCCATACAAAGTGGGGTTCTCATTTTCTCTGGAGACCCCGCGCAGGAACACAGGAACAGGAACACACCCTCTCTTCTCACTCACTCACCGCATACACACTCACTCATTCACACACGCACACGCTGACATCATAATCTTCACAGTCACTTCATCATCACTTACATATCCACCCACTCGCTCACACACTCACATCCACTCAGCATCATCACTCCTTTACTCACACATTCACCACAGCCTACCACCCACTTACTCACACACATCATCGCCAGCATCATCATCATCGTCTTCATTCACTCACTCAATTAGTCGATACATACCTGATGAGCTCTTCTCCCTTCGCACACTCACTCACTCAATGAGTCCCGCACCATCACCATCATAACACCATACACCTCCTCATCATTATGCACTACATCGTTGCCATCATCATTCACTCAAATCCGAGGCGGGTCATCGGAAACTTGTAACTGTCGTCACTTTCGGGTCCCGAGGCTTGAGAACGGGGAAAGTATCAGGCGGGAGCCTCGTCTGTGAGCGAATTGCGAGTCTAAGGCGGGAGCCCTCTCCCTATGGGGCCCGCAGCTCATATGAGTAATCCGAAGGGGTCATCGGCCTTTTGGAATTGTCGTCACTTTTGAGCTCCTGAGGCATGAATCTTGGGGAAGTATGAGGCGGAGCTTCGTTTGTGAGTGAATTGCGGGTGGCCTCGTCCGAGCTGATCGTCGGCAAACTTGTTATTGTCATGGGCCCGCGTGCCCGAATCATGCCGTGGCGACGCCAAAACATTTTGTGGGCTTTATGGAAGGCTTCTTGGGGGCCTCCTGGAAGGTTTTCCTTGACCTCGGGGTTTCGTGGTGTCCTTTTGGGCTTTGTTGGTGGCTGTTCGAGGATTATTGGGTTCTGTTGGGGGCAACCCCGGGGGCTATTGGGGCGTCTTGGTTAAGGATCCAAAGCAGGGGTCCCGCAGGGGCCGCTGGCATCGACATTTGCGCATGCCTCTGGCCACGTTGGGTTGCTGGTGTCGCACTAAGCGAGGCGAGAGCCTTTGGCTTCGTCAGGTATACGAGCCTCTGGCCGCGTACGACATCTGTAGGATGCAGCCAGCGGCAGCGAGAGCGTCTGGCTTCGTCAGCTTTGCGAGCCGCTGGCCGCACAGTTGGTTATCATTCGGTCGACGGCGAGAGCCCCTGGCCTCGTCAACTGCGTGAGCCTCTGACAACGCATTATACATACATAAATATATACATATATACATAGATGCATATATCTATATATATATATATACAAATTGTACGGCGGGAGCTTCTGGCATCGTCAGCTGCGCGGGCAGGTTGGACGACCAGTGGTGCCTGCACCTCTACGTTATGTTCTCCCGCGCCACGTGCATGCGGAACATGCTGATCCTGCGGCCGCCGCCGCGAGAGTTCCTGGAGCGAGGGCCGCCGGCATCCTTGCGGAAGGCGCTCCTGGAGTTCGACATCAGAGCGGAAAGCTCCAGGGCAGAGGCGGAGCAGCTCGCGGCAGAGCTGGGCTACGTGCTGCCCCGCTCGAAGCCCGCGGGATTGTCCCAACGGCTTGGTCTCGCGCGCCAGCGGCTCACGGGGTAGCCGCGACGGCCTGGCCCGCGGGGTTGCACCAACGGTTGCGGCGCAATGCGGCAATAAAGGGGTTGCGCCCGTGCTGGCCGAGGCAGCGACGGCGCCGAGGAAAATCGACATGCGCGCTCATGCAATAGAAAGGGGAGGAGGTGGCGGGGGGTGAAAAAAACAAGAATGCGAGGAGAGGACAACGTGGGGAGCGGGAGGACTGCTTGCGCCAGGGCGAGGAGGATAATGACGCAGAGGCGACAGCAAGGACGCTTCAACATCACGAGGACGACGATGAGGGTTGTTTCCAGATTCGCCGAGGGGATTCTCATGTGGGGTCCTACCGTCGGAGTAATGATCAGAGTGAGAGGGCCGAACGGTCATTCATTGTCATTGGGTGCGTGGCTGAAGTGCGGATCCGTGGTGAGGATTCTGCTTGTTGTTGTTGTCGTCCCCCCGCGACCCGGCCCGCGAGCCGCCCGCGACCCACCTCGCAACCCACCCGCGACCCACCCCGCGACCCAACTGCGACCCACCCGCGACCCGTTCGCGACCCGTTCGTGACCCACCGGCGACCCACCCGCGACCCGGCCCGCGACCCGGCCCGCGACCCACCCGCGACCTACCGTCGACCCACCCGCAACCCACCCGCGACCCAACCCGCGACCCACCTACATTGTTTTCGCCCAA